CGAACCGGCGCGGAAGGTACCGCCGGCCGCCGCGGCAGCCGCGCCCGCACCGCGCCTGAACCCCGGGGCAGCGGGCGCTGGAGGCCGTCCCGGGGCTCTGCGGCCTCCCGCCGGCTCCCCTGTCAAGGCATTCACAGACAAAATCCAATTCTGTTTGAAAACGAACGGAAGAACTCACCAGCCTCGGAAAGCTCCCCAGCCGCGCGCCTCCGGCAGCCCGTAGGATGTGCGAGTTTTAACTGGAAATGCCCATTTGCCCTCGCTCTGCCGAAAAAATAGGATCCCAGGGTAAACCGCCGGTCTAGAAAAGCAAGGTCTTTCCTCATGGAAAAACCAGTGTACTTAAAGGTCCGTGTGGTATTTTGTGGTCCCACAGCCTGGGGTGTTTTGCAACTTTACTGCACAAATATTTGCTCTGTGTTTTTAAGGCTTTGCTACATCTGTTCCTTCCTCATTTTCCTCCTTCTGGCCCGTAACTTAATTTTTTGTTGCTCATTGCTAGAGAAATGCCGAATAACACATGGTGACTTACTTGATTCATTGCCAATATTTATTTCAAATTGGTAGACCGCAGTGAAAAGTCACTGCGATATTAACAGCTGTAACGGTATGAAGAAATTCATCACTGGGAAAACAGACTAGCAGAAGATTCAAACCGTAAAATAAATCAACAAGCTAGTACTGCTCATCCTGACTCAGAAAGTATGTGTGTAGATATTCTGAAATATTTGATCGTACAAGTTTTTTGCAATAATTTTAAGTCAAGTTTCACTAAGGCTGAAATTGTCATAATGTTATTTGTTTGTACACAATTTGTTTTCTTGGCCCGCAGAGTGGTACTATGTATAAAATCACGTACCAAATATTTTTAGCTTATGCATCTGGACTTTACCTACCTTCCCCCTCCTGTTTTTTCCCATACACAAGCACAAAAATGAAGACTGAGAAGGAGAGTCTGTCTTAAAGAGAACTAAATACGATTGACGCACTTAGAGCTTATAGACCAATTTCAAACTGATTTTCTTAACTTGCGTTTTCTTGGGGAAGGAGACAAATTTGCTTTGTACTGAAGATTTTTGTGCTTTCCTCTACTATGACTTTACACGCACTAACATTATAGCCCCATCTTCAGAGAAATGGTCTTTTCTGCCGAGCCCACCTGCGTTGATTACTGACCCCCCCCACCCCGCAAGCGATCCTGCTTTATAGGGCCAGAGAGACCTTTGGTAGCACTTCCAAAACTGGAAATTAAACCTAGATCCATCATAGGCGCTCCACACTGCTATTCCTATTCCATGGGACTGATGTGTTTTATTTGCGAATATGTAGTTCCCTGAGTAGATAATTTATTGCTGAGATTAGACTAAATGTCCCTAATGATCCTTTTTGGCCTTGAAATCTCTCTGTTTGTGACTTTCACCTCTTGTTGGCCTTTAAGTTTTCCATCATTTTTATTTATTTTTGCAGATACCAGTACGAAAACTGATTTTAGTCGGACAAATCTAGACTCCTGGATATGTTGTTTATCTAGCTATTTCCATATTTTCTTTTTTTTAGATGATCATGTGTGAAAAGACAGGCACATAAATTCTGCAAAACTATAAAATGGGTACTATGACAGACTATGAAATGGACTTTAAAAACAGCCTTTTAAAGTATTCAAAGTTACTTTAAGAGTATGTGCATTTGAGGATAGCTAGTAAGAAAAGCTGAAGAAGCAAAATTCTGTCTCTTTCTCTGTCTTTTAAATTTTTTTTCTTTTTAATACTGTTACAGTTCCTGGGTAATTGTTGCAGTTGGATTGCTGGTTCTGGTTTTTATTGCTCTGTTGGCTCGTGTTCTTGTCAAAAGAAAACCACCAAAAGACCCGCTGTTTTATGGTATGTCTTGGTAACAATGAAGCTAAATTCAGAAAGTGTTAATTTATGTAAATGATAATATGCGACAGTTATTTCAGTTTGAACATTTAAGGCAGGGCTTCAGAACCCAGTCTGGTGAGGTGCTAAGGAGCCAAGAAAGAAAGAAAGACTGGAGAAAAAAGAGGAGAAATAATGCTTCTTTTGAACCTTTTTATTCTTCTCAAATAGGAGATCTGGCTTAGGGACAACCCAGACCTCCTATTTGAAAAGAATAACACTCGAGTTGGGCTGTGAAAGTGTTTAAAATACTGTCATACCTGCTCTGTTAAGATCGTCCTTGTAGCAGTACTTAGGCACCACAGTAGATCTCTTATGGCTGTCTCATCCTGAGTGGACTCATTTGGGATTTTTGGATCTTCTGGATCAATGGCCTCTATGGCTTGGTTCTTCCTATGACTGAATTCCTTAATTCTGCCATTTTTATTAGGCTTCTGTGTTAACTCATCTTTGTGATACATAAGGAAGTTCAAAGCACTCCCAACTCCTGGCTCAGGCTGTCTGCAGACTTGGGCAAACATTTCTATATTGATACTTTGCCATAAAAGCATAAAGATCTAGATTACCTTTTAAAAGGAAACCTTAGATCTAGATTACTTTACAGCAAAAATCTGGAAGAAAAAACACTGCTGGTTTTTTAAATTTTACAAGATGGGCCCATAGGCAAAGCAGCGTATGGACCACATGTATCTACCCTCTGTCTTCCTCCTCATGACAACTCGTAGGCATCTGTCCCCAGTGTTCTGCGCGAAGCCAGGAACTCTCAGTTCACACTGAAGTCAAAGGAAATAAATAACATAAACCTACTGCAAATAAATTTCCTGTCTCAAAGGAGTGACTCGCTAACTTGCCAGACAGATCTCCTATGGACTGCTGTGGCTAATGCAGTTTGCCTTGCTCACCTCCAAAAATGGCAAGTCATGTTTCACTCTCCACCTCGCTTTTGTTGTCCTTTCTCCTTTCCAAGAGATGAGTACAGTCAAGGTTGTCTACTTTGTGTGACCAAGAGTTTTGAATGGCTACATAGTCCTTTCTGCAGACAGTGACTTCCCACGGAGGCTGTGCCTACAGTTCTGCAGGATTTCACATTCCTAAGAAAAGCTTCCTAAGAACTCTTGACTAACCACTAATTAAAAAATACTAAGCTATGTAGGAAAGTCATATTGTATGTTAACTATCTGTGACCTCCAAGCAGATGCATCTAGTCCAATAGATCTCTGCCTGACTGAATTTATCGGACTGTGAAGCAACTGCATGATTCCAAATCTTTGTTAATTTATTAAATTTTTTCCCCTTTGTCTTATTACAGTTTATGCTGTATTTGCCTTTACCAGTGTAGTGAATCTAATAATTGGACTGGAGCAGGATGGAATTATTGATGGATTCATGACTCATTACTTGAGAGAGGTAAACAATTGTTTGCCTTACAAATGTAAATAAAATCTTTACTATAAATAACTCGGTATGGTATTTGTCACAGAAAAATAGCCACTTACATATTCAAAAGGGTTTTCTCAAATTTGGTCATTGACCTGTTTCATTATTGTTATGGACAAAACCTTCACTGACTTGAAATCACTGACTCATTTGGGAAAAATAGCATACCTTTCAAGCTCCAATGGTATTTCACTTAGTTTAAATAATACTGTTCTGTATTAACTTCTGTGGGAATTGAATAGACTGTACATGTTTGCAGAAAGCCATAGATAGCACTCAGGAGTGGATGAGTACTGCAGTACCTAAATGTGTTACCAAGAAGGAAACAAAATTGCTCCTTTATTTTTGCCTAATCACTTTACTAAAAGGAACTAGAGTTAAAAAATGATGATGCCAGATACATAGTCAGCAGAATCTGTTGGCTGCTGAACATCAACATCCACCAAAAATAGCTCAGTAAGAGCTTGATATGAAAGTCACTGAAGTCATTGAAAAGATTCCATGAACTTTAGCATGAAATGAGTTGGACCTTACAGGGTTATACGTTGTCATCGATATATTCAATACTGTTTTAGATCTCTAGGTTGCTAAATATATCTTTATTTTTTAGCTTTTATCACTAAAATATGCAAAAGTAATATTTCCATAATGTAAGTAGAACAATGCTGACAGTCATACATAGGAGTTTTCCCTTCCATCTTACACCCTATTTTGCAACTATAGAACTGATTTAATTATGCCTAATTCTACCTAAATCAGGTTTGTGCCTGGCAACCTGTATCATTAGTCAAAAACTGTACCTCTGGATTGAAAGAACATCAGTTAGTTTTCTGAAATTATTTCCTGTTGGTTTTTATTAATTATTTGTTCTTCTTCCTCTAATCAGTGTATCTTTTTTAAAATAAATGTTCCCTAGGGTGAACCATATCTCAACACTGCATATGGCCATGTGATCTGCTATTGGGATGGCTCTGTTCATTATCTGATGTATCTGTTGATGGTGGCAGCTATTGCATGGGAGTAAGTAATTTTGATTTGTGTACTGTTTACTTTGCTTGCATTCTCATATAACCTACAAAGGGCTTTCTTTTCTATGCAGTATTTAGATTTTTCTTTCAGGACCGTTTCATGTCTTAGGCCAAAGCAACGCTTTTAAAATTTCATTACTTTCGGGAATTGTACCCTCACCAAATTACTCTTAGCTGAATAAGCCCAACGAATACATTGAGTTGTAGTCTGTCTTCACTCTGCAGCAGAGAGCATAGCCCATCTGCATGCTTTGTGTTAGTTAAAAGGAAAGCTTAAAGATGATGCATGTTAAAACCATGTGCGAAAACATTTTTTTTCCTAAATAACATATTTATGGTAGGAATAATGTATTGCTTAGCATGATGATGATGATCTCTCATCCATGGTAGAGAGTACCATGCAGTTTAAGAGAAAATGGTTATTTCTAGAGATTCTTATGTTTCTTGCTGTTGAATAAAGAGTTTGAGAAAATACGTATTTAAATTTAAATTACCAGTGGATACATTTAAATGTATCCACTGGTAATAAAAGCATTAACAGAATGAAATGAATTATTAATTCTTTTATAGTTTTGTACAACCTGTGATGTGCAAAATCATGCAGCCTTCAAATGAGTGAAACGTAACAGCAAATAACTAAATATGCAAAAATCCTGTACTGGTCATGTGATAACCTTCTCACACGTGAATGTAGGATTTCTCCATATTCCCCTCTCAGAGGCAAGAATCCACTGTTGACTCGTGGTACAGATTTTAAAACCTTTACTTACTAAGATACAACCATGGCAATTAGTATAATATTTTAGGGTGATTTGAGGTAGGGCATTTTTAGGAACGGTGCAATAATTATGTCTTGTTTTCTTTTTTACACAGACAAAGCTATAGAACCATTGGCCTCTACTGGCTAGGTTCCATTATCATGAGCATCATTGTCTTTATGCCTGGAAACATTGTGGGTAAGGACATAATTTTATGACTAACTTTTTCCTGTGAAACATTTTCTAAATTCAGCATTAGGCTATCTATATATTACTGCAGTATTGGTTCATTCTGTAATAATATGAAAGAGGAATTTTAGGAATATCAGTAAAGTGATGCAAGATATTTTGAAATTTAAATATGAGGAAGGGAAGATGGAGACCAGAAAAAAAAACCCTTTCAATTTACATTGCTTTCAAGGAAAAAAAAAAGTATTGTATTTTGTGACACCCATAAGGCTTTCATCCAAACTAAGTTTAATTTAAGCACTGAGACAATAACTGTCTCTTAGTATCATAAAAATATAAATCTTATTTTGCATAAAATTTCCAATTTACTTAATATTTCAAGCAGCTTACAAGAGGCATCCAAATCACCTTTAGAATTGAAATCTGGAAGTGATTCTATTTTCAAAATAAATTTAACATTCCTAGATTTCTAACATAAATCAGTGCATAGCTGTGCTGCTAGAGGTTGAGAATTGTAATAAAAAAATTTACATCATTATTACTGTCAGGTGGTGCTTTAAGAGTGCCACCCCCCTCAATTAAAGATTTCCTTTTTAGCAAAGCTTAAATTGATGCAAAGTTGACAAGTGTTCAACTGAGAAAAATGTTGATGTGTCCAAATCCTGTAGTCAGCTTTAGAAAAGCTCACGATGGCCCTGCTTTTTGTGACAGAGGAAGAATATTCATGGTGCAGCCTGGGGCCAGTCCAGTTCCCTCCGTTGTAGATACACAGGCACCACAGAGAAAACAGTCAGCAGATTTAATGCTACAATATCTTTTCCTCTTTCCTTTAGAGAAGGCTGAGAAGCTTGTTCTCAAGAGCATGCCTTCTGCCTTTCTTTCTGACATAGGGAGTAGCTAGTGTAAAGGACATGGATTTTCCAGATTTACCTGCGCTGAGGATAGCTCTCTGAATTTATGTTTTGTCCTTAAATATTAGTACAGGCCTGTAGGAAAAATCAGGACTTTGGAAAACAAATGCAGTATCAGATCTTCAAAAATGGATGCATTCCTTTTTTCCATTTTTAAAAGAATGATGTCTATATTTGAAACAGGTTCCATTAAGAGATTTCAAAGCTGTCCCATCCTATAGGATTACCTAGTGCAGAGTGACAGGAGTGGTTTCCTGCCCCCTCAAAATGTCCCCCCTTAATTTCTGAAATGGCTTCCTGTCTGATGGCTCTCTGTCACCCGTGACTCTACCACTGTTGAGCACATGATTTTCAAGAAGATTTGTGTGTTGCTTTAAGAGCTATTTCTAATATTTTATGTTTACGTTACCATAGCTGCTTCAGGTTTGTTATTACATAGGACATTTTTTAACTCTTCTGCAACACAGCTTACAAATTCTCATACATCCTATGATTATTTTTTTAACAGGCAAATATGGAACAAAAGTGTGTCCTGCTTTTTTCCTAAGTGTACCATATATTTGCCTTCCCATATGGGCTGGGTTCCGAATTTATAACCAACCTTCGGTGACTCACGACACTCCAGTCAAGGTAATATTATTGTATTTAAGTGTTGGCTACTGTTAGGAAAAATGAAATATGCTTGGCTGTTTCTACTGAGTTTTATAGGTCCCTTGGTGAGCATGGAATGTACTGTAACTGTTCACTGTTATGACAATTCCTGCCAGGCTGCGTAGACACTGTAAAAATATCTATACCGTGGGACCATTTAATTATGGTGGGCTAAAGAAAAAGCAAAAGAATCTCATGTTTAGAGTAAAGAACCCATTTCTAGGTGTAATTGTGTTACTAACCCCTATCTGTTCAGTTTCTGTTTCAATTTCTTAGCTGATGAAAATATTGACATATACCAGCTTCATAAAGCACCACAAAATCCTGATAGAAGCTCTGCAGGAAAGTATTCTTCTGCAGACAACTTACAGATTTCATGTAATTTAATAATTTTTTGTATGTGCATTCTGCAATATTAGATTTTACAAGTAAGACACTGTACATTAATTGATATGAAAATTATTTACACACTTCTTATTAAAAATATCCATAAAATTAATGTTTGCTTAAAACTCCTTAGACCTTTGCCTTTGAATTGAATAGTTGGGCTATAATAAGTTTAACTGAGCAATCAAAAAATGCAATAAGAGTTTATGGTCTGTTTTATAAAAAAAAAAAAAAAATCCCTGCAGTACAAAGCACAGAACAGATCTTTAACTCTTTGTTGCTATAAGCAAGCCAGTTTATTGCCACAGCACACCATATCAGTTTTAAGTAATATAATCAATTAATATTTTTGCATCACAAGAGCTCCTGAGTCTCAGTCAGGTTCATTCTGTAACTGAAAACATAGACACAGATGAAGGAGTTAGTTCCTATTCCACAGCTAATAGGCAGTCAGTGTGCAAGTGGCATAGCCTAGGGCATAGAATAACAGCAGATGATGCACTGACAGATTTTCCCAGAAATGTATGAAAGGTAACATTCAGCCATCCATCCATGATTCTTCAGTAGGAAGAGAGGTATAGATAGATATGAATATCTCCTGAAGTTTGAAGAACTGCTACAGAATCACCACCTTTAGGGCAAGTCCCTATGAAAGGCAAATTGGGAGAGAGACTTCAGGTGCCAAACCCTCTTCTACCCTCCTGCATAGGCTTGCAAGAAACTACGTCCCATCCATCCCAAAGCAATTTGAGATGACTTACTTAAAGGTGTCACTAGTTCTGGCCAGAAACACATTCTTTAGAGTCATCAGGGTAGAGAAGTGTAGCTAAAGGTAGTGATGGCGAATTTTGCCATATATATTAGTGAGAACGTCCTTTCCACGGAGGATGGATGAAGGTTTCAGTTCTTTTTCCTAGTACTGAGAACACCACAGAAATTGCTATTATAGAAAATACATGATGGACTGCTTATTTGCTGAAATATAGCTTATCAGCTCCTAAGCTTATCAGGAGCTAAATTGCTTACCTAGGTTTGATATTCTACTTCAGTATATATTGCAGAGAAACTTAGTTTTTTAAATTCTGTTTCAAAAAGAGAGTGCATAAAAAGCTGGTGATCTGAAAATTTAACATTGCACTTCTTAGTGAATCCTTTCTTGTAAACCTACACTTCCTTGCTCAGAAGGTGATAGAAGAAGCTTTGATTCCTTTCCCTGGGGCCTCCTACCCTTCCTATGTCATTTTGATTTTTAGAAGTTGTATTTATTTTTATGCTCCATATCCAAGCATAAATACTGTTCAATAACTGTGTACCTTGAAATGCCTTTAAATCTTAACATGACTACTCATCAATTTTTCTTATTTTTTATACAACTTTCTCAGTCCCAAATTAAGTATTGTTTCCAGGAAATAACTGTGTGTAATGCTACTAGTCAGTTAACTAATCATTGTAAGTCCTGAAAATAGTTAGTTCTCTTTCAATAGATCATTTGCAATTAGCTATAAAATTGAACTTTTTTTAGCTATCATTCAGAGTTGGTATTAAAAGATTTAGGAAGAAAATTTAATAATGCTTTTAAACATGATAGTGCAAGTATATAGAAAAATACTTACATGAAAGGAACAGAAGCAAGGCATATTCTGTTGGCCAAGGTATTAATTGCTATAATATTATAAACCAGTTAGTTAAAAAATAAATAAATCACTGTGGGGACAGAGAAGAGGTAATCAAGTTTTGGGTGTTTTCTAACAGAGGTGGGTGCATGCGAGAGGAGTGGAGTTATGCCCTCATTTAGAATCAAACCAAGCTGTGCTGCAGTATTTACAAAGCCCAGCAGTTTATCTACAAGTATATCAGCTCAGAAAAGTTTAATGTAATTTAAAATTCATTAACAGAATTTATACACATAAATTCAGATTTGCACATGAATTCTGAAGGGACTGACTTCTATGGACAGCACACAAGACTACTCTGATTCCTTAAAACTGATCATGTAAGGAGCCTCTCAGAAGTTATGGAAAATAGCTTTTTCCTGGAAGTAAGAGAAATTGCAAAGCATGCCTACACACTTCCCTGCTACACAAAAGAAACAGCAGGGTTGGCGAGATCTGTGCAGAGTTCAATGTTGTTTGCAATAAATGGGAAACCTGTGGCGGGTCATCTCTACTCAGCCAGTGTATTTAACATGTAATTCATTTTAGCATGTATTGATGCAACTTTGCTGTATAAAAGAAAGGTAAGGCAAAATTAGTATGTAGCTGAAGTCTGTCAGCAAAGTGCATACTGTCTTTCAAATTCTTGCTTCTGCTTTTTTTTAAGGTTTGTGTTTTCACTTTGTTTGCATAAATGTATGCATAGAGAAAAAAAGGTGTGAGTTTTCTGTACCATGGCAATTTCACAAACTCATACTGTACTAAAAGTCGTTTCCACTAATATTGGCTTTGTCTCCAGAACCTCTAAGTACAAAGTTCTATTGTGGCTTTGTGATCACAGTAAATATGCACATTAATTTAATATACATTTTGAAATGAGGAGTGATACATATATATAAGCTTCATATTTAGACAAAAGTGGAAAGAAAATATATCAACCCTCAAACTTTCCATTATCCTTAGGTAGTCTACATCTGAAAATGACTTGCAACTCAGCAGCCATGGGAGGCCTTTGTCTTTCGTAGGAATAAATATTAGAATATAGATATTCTTTGCAGGTAATATTATAAACATTCCTACACTAGTACTTTAAATACTGTGAAGTAACACCATACTGCCAAAACAGACCTGTTATTTGTGTTTAAAAACAAAGGTGTAACTTTTTTTTTTCCTGAAAAAGATCCTTTAAAAGAAAAAAAAATAGTTTTATGAAAGGGACAGCCTATCTGTTTCAAATAGCCTTATTTTTGTTAACCTACAATTCAGATCTTGCAGTTCTTACTCAGGAATTGTGCTTGCAAGATCAGTTCTCCAGTTTCAATAACTTTATTGTGACTATCTTGATCCTGACTGCTTTTAACTGTGCTTCTACATCCTAATTATTGTTTTGTGCTTTGGAGACAATTCCACAAGTGTATAACAGGAAGGAAATCAGGTTTTTCTTTTGCTGTCTGCATGCCAACACATGGCTAATAAAAAGGAAGAGGAAATGAGTAACACATATAAATGGGGAAGTTTTCCCTCTGAACTACATAAAGATACTCTGATTTGCTTATAATTTTGCCTGTGACTACACAGTGCTGAAAGTGTACCTTGAATTATTTCCATGGGTCTTGTAAGTTTTACCATGTAGGCGAAGAGATGACTTTGGTTCCTCCAAGCCATCTTTCATGTTGGGTATCTATATAGCCTTTTCTACTGTAGAGTGTGAACCCCTCACATCTGCGCATGTGGTGCAGCAGGGGGATTCCTGTTCTGAGGCTGAGGAAAGGAGGTACAGAACAAATCAGATCCAGATGCCGAGAAGCGCTTCAGTGCCCGTCAGAGGAATCCATAGCATAAAGTAATAAAAGAATGAAAGGAGGATTTTCCACATGCTCCATACGTGCACACACGCATTTCTCTATTTCTGAAGTACATATTAAGATACATTATATGCTCACTGAACTGAGCAGAGAACTCAACTGGCCACAGAAAGGCTTTTATTTTATGCCACTGATATTCCATTAATTTCAATAGTGTCACAGGCTGCTGAAAACCAGCATTCACTGTCAATAATGAGATGGACCCTCATTTTGCTGTCCCTCCAAACAGTCCTTTTACAAAATGTATTAGATTCAACTTCGAATGTTTGAGACAAACCTACATTTCCAAAGCTTTTCTACCTAGGGACATTCAGGAAAATTAATTCATTCCAATTAACAAAAGACACAACTTTGAAGAAATTAGTTATGCTGCTTTAAAGCCTTATGTGATTGCAGAGTTAAAGTAGTGTTCATTTGATTTAGGTTGCTTTGAAAGTAAACTAATCTGTATTGAAATGGCTTTAATTGGATTTATCCATTTCTAGAGTTTATTCGGATTAATTTTCCTCACTGCATCCTATAAAGTCTGAAGTCACCTTTTTAGATGTGGAAATCTTTCTGTCTCTGAAACCAGTGGATAAATAGGGTAATGTAACTGAGAACTAACTGCATCTATCATAATGTTTCAACACTTCACCCTTCTTGCAGTGACTGATCTGGAGTTAAATATATGTCATGTGGAACCTGGATGTACTCACTAAACATGTTCTGTGTTGCAGGTGGTTCAAGAAATCCAGAAGAAAGGACTCTTAAGACGACCAATAGATTTAATGTTAGCTGCATACCTCATTCTAGCAACGGGGTTTTGCATATTTAGGGGCATGGTAAGTTGAAGATATTTTAATATTCTGGCCTCTAATTTTCAGTCAAACTTTTAAATTTGAAATCGTGTCTGTGTGAAAAAGTATGTACATTTTGGTTAAGGGAAATCTTGTGACTTTCAGAGTTGAAATAGGCCTTAGATATAAAAAGGACAAATTGATTATTTATGATAATTAGTGGTGCTTTGCTTCTCCATTTTGCTTTGTGTAAAGTATGTTTTTCAAAAGGAGGTGCAGAATCACAAGAGTAAATAGCATCCCAAGTGCAGATTAAAACTCTTTTCATTGGTCTGGTGTTACATTTATGGCCAAGAACATGGAGACAAACCAACTAAATTAAATCTGTATTCATGTTTTTCTAAACAGAGATGCATAGTTAAAATTATATAGGAAACCAAGTTAATTTACACTGCATGAGATAGAGGAGAACATTTCCACCTGCAAGAAAAAATTATCCACATTACCTGAACAACACATGTTGTTTCTACTTACCAAGAGCTAATTTTTTAAAAATGTTTGCTTTTTAAGCATAGCTGACTGAATTAAAATTTCGCAGGGAATGAATCAGTACTGAAAATGCTTGAAGTAGATAAATCCAGTAGTAGGTAAATCTAGTCCTGTCAGGTCTAAAGCATTTTCTGTCTTAAGCAGAAGGGAAGTTGTATATCATTCAGTGAACAGAGCTCAATTGTTTAGGTGTCTTAGACAAATGCCTGCTTGCTTGATTTGTAGATCTGATTCTGTCTAGAATAATTCAAGAGGGGACAATAAGTACCCAAGCAACATTTTATTTACGTAGCACAGATTGTTCTTTTGTAGTTCTGTTGCTCACATTACTCTGTCATCTTCTGCTGTTTCTCTGAAAACTTGCCTCTCAAAAATATTTTTTTTCTTCTAACTTGTCACAGACTGCTTTATTTCTTATAGATCATGCTATTTCAGAGCACCACTGATGCAGGTTAATCAGCTGTTTTACCTGTAATTTCACTGTGGGAAATGTTAATCTCATGCTCTAACATCTAACTTGGTTCTGCAATTCCACTTCTTTATTTCTCAGAGGAATTTTTTTGTTGATTTTGAGAGTGTGGTCATTTCCTTACATATTTCCTTTACCAAACAGGAACTGCTTACTGGCCTTACTTACACATACAGAGATCAATTGAACATCTCTGTGTAAGCTGCAGTAACCATGATTTTGTGAAAAAGGTAATAAAACGTAATCCATTATAGTCTACTTGGACCTGCTTCTTGGATGCTCATGTTGGAAAAGAACAGGGAAGAATATCCACTGTTTGTAAATCTTTGCATTTCTTCTTGAAGTCACACAAAAAAATACACATGAAATTAAGTTGTGCAAAACTTACTGTTCAGTCCTGTAACTTAGGCATTAACGATGCCTTGCCATAAAACACTTATAGTGACAGCTGTTGACACAGATTGCTAACTCATTTTAGAATAGTATTTTTTGTAGTAGTTTTAAGGGCTACTATGAAGAGGAACTACTTTTGCAACTGGGTCTCTCTTCATGTTTATTGAGAATTTTGTTCTTTCTATAGGAATGTAACATCCAATAATCTCTCTCTTGCTACTCTCTTAAAAAATATTATTATTATTTTGAGTAAGACCTGTCTCTCTGCATTGCTCTCCACTGCTACCTTGCCACAATGCAACTCTTTTGTTGGACTACATTCATAGCTTACTATCCTAAAATTGGGTGCTTAGCCTGAAGTTTCCACTGTTTGAGCAATTTTCTATTGGAAAGTTCATTTGCTGGGATCAAAGTCTGTTTATCAGAGCAAATCAATAGCAATTATACTTTTAGTACAGCATAGCCAACTGACTGAATTCTTTTCCAGTCAAAATCTTTAAAACAGGCTGTCAGCATTTCCTCACAAACTTTCTGAGCAGGAGCTGAGAGGAGGCTGCATTTCAGCTTTTTAACCGGTGATCAAATGGATCACTGTTGCAATAGACTTTGAGCAAGCCTCCAGGGTAGCAGTGCTGCAGACCACTAGTGAATCTTTAGGCTGGTAACAGGTGTCAGGTTAGCTCGTTTTAGAACAAATTCTTTGTTCACAGGAAGTTTTAAAAATTCTTCTTAGATTGCTCTGGATTGCCCTGCTGAACTCTGCCGGCTATATATTCAACTTCATGAGCCTTATATAAAAGATCCTGCTGCCTATCCTAAGCTTCAGGTAAAGCACTGACTGTGGAGCATAGAGTGTTAAGAAGTGATCTGTTGACTGGCACAAAGATGAAGCCATGGGTTTCACAGATGGCAAGATCAATAAGGGAAGTATTTGTTCATGGCAAGTTAAACGGTATTTCATATTTTCTACTACAGCCGTTACAGGGTACCAAATCTTCACTGTGATAAACTTAACTTAGATTCAAATCAGTTACCTAGAGTTACACATCCTAATTACTCAGGCTTCTTTTAATACAGTCCATGAAACAGATCTGCATGCTTTTTATGATCATTCCCCTTCCTTAGAAGGGCAAAGCAGACTTTCAGTCTGGAATAATGGAGCAAAAAGGGGTGTAGTAGTAGGACTAGGTTCCTTAAGCTCATGTTACGCTTCTGTGACTAGTGACACACTCCTTGAAATGTGACACTTTTTACAAACCCTATTTACACAAGCATTGCAGAGGAGGGAATGTTGTGCTTTAGTTTTGTATTATTTGCAAGGTTGCCATTCTTTTGCAACCTTGGCTGCTGGATGGGGTCAGGGCCTGAAGCAGTAAGAGGATTCACAGGTGAGGCAATGAGCAGAAAACAAGTATCTCTGCCGGACCTATTCTTTCTGGGAAAGGGGTGGCTTGGGTGTCTCTCATACCTCCCAGCTGAAAGTGCAATGGAGCTTGAGAGATGGACACCCATGTTGTGTTGGACACCAAATTAGGTCAAGCCATGCTTATTGGCATGGTCTCAAGATGGCAAGGGGTAGGAAAACATGTCCTGGGATGAAGTGGATTTGGAGGGGGCAAAGAAACAACAGCCATCAATATTAGTGGAGGCCTTAGGGTAGCTGGATTCAGTCAACAGCATCTAGGTATGAAACTCTTTTCTCAAAGAAGTTATAGCTGCAAAAAGGCCCGGGGAATCATTGCTGCCAGGAGTGTAGTTTTGAATAGTCTCAACTCCTCAGTCAGCAGCTGGCTAATTTTGAAATGCATCTCCCTCACACTGCAAAGCAACTAATATTTCTGTTTAAAATGCAGATGCTGGCATACATGTTCTACTCTGTGCCATACTATGTGATTGCTCTGTATGGCCTACTGGTGCCTGGTTGCTCCTGGATGCCTGATATAACCCTTATACATGCTGGAGGACTAGCTCAGGTATTTCTTTGTAAATGTTCGCTCTTGAATTACAAGTTCATAAGTAGAGACCTATGGAATAAATAAGGGGCCCAGGGCTTGATCTTCCCATGCAGGTTTTATGCCATTCTAACTCAGATCACCTTTTGTATTTGTAAAAAATTAATTTAAGGAAGTGGAGAATCAAACCTATTACATGTCTCTAATGGCTGCATTCTTGCTTTAGTAGACTTCTCTCCATCTGCAGAATCTTTTTATTGGGCTCATTTAAACCTTATTAAGCACCATGCACTCTTTAGCTGAGACGGTGGAGGAAGCCTGTCTTAAAGCTGTAACAGTCAACCATGTAAAAAAAACCCCAAACACAACAAAACAGTACAATACATTGTTTCCATAATGTGTGTTGGCCAGCTAGGTAGTTTGAAAAATACAAACGGAAAAAGTATCTACTAGTCACATAAAACGGATGACATCAGTTGATGATGTCGATATAACACTGGGAACCTCTTGGGCCACAAACCACAGTAACACTAAGACATGCCTGTATTGCCAAAGGCAGACCAATGATCATATTTCTTAACTTACTCTGTTCTGATTCTCTGAAATAAACAACTGTAGTTAATTACTAGATGGTGCTGATGCTTACGAGTAGACAGACCAAAAGAAAAAAATTCAACAGGAGCTAGTAAATGACTTCTCATGACACACAGATGAGCATTAAACAGTTGAGACAGAGTGACAATTGATTTGTACTGTATGTAGGAAACGAAATGTGCTCTGAGCATCCGGACAATGCAAAAAATACGCACATAAGCCTGCAACAATAATGAGAACATAGGGATGTTGCAATAAGTGTAATTCAAGTACTACTATTAGACAAACACAGACCAACACTTTGTTCCTTAGGCCTGAGATAACAATCAGGGGTACGAACTATGATCCAGCTAAATTGCCCAGTAAGGATGGGGGGAGTGACATTTTATTTTCTGTTAGTGAGCAGTTATTACAGAGAATATGACTTTTTTTCTAAACAGAATCTTGAATTACCAAATTATATCAAAACAGGATCTGGCAAGCATATTAATGAGGAGGTTTAGGTGCTCAAAAGGTATCATAAATATTATACAACTCTGTGTGGCCCAAATCTAATCTAAAAAAAGCGCAAGCTAGCTAAAGTAGGCAAGCCAGTGTCAGGAACCTCTCTCTACTGACAGATTACTCGGGTTTCATGAATTCCCCAGACAGTCAGGAAAGAAACCGCTCCTTCAAAGATTATTTAGCACAAGGAAAAGCAAACCAGAAGTCAGTGTGCTGACTATCACAATCTTGCAAATTTACCAAAACCAACAGCCTCCCAGATTGGAGGCAATTTTTGTTTGGTTGATTTGGTTTGTTGGGGTTTGCTTTGGTTTTGGTGGTTGTTTTGGTTTTTGTTTGTTTGTTTGGTTTGGTTTTTTTCCCCTTCTTTTAAATGTTTCCCATAACAAACACTCTCTTTTTTTTTTTGTTTTGTAATGGCACTTTGTACCTTTTAGCTGTACAATTAATACAAGCAAGATTTTGTTGCTGAAGTCTAAAACCCCTCTGTTGTCCCTTGTAACGGTTTGGCTTCAGGATAATGCTGATTTACACATTAGACAAGGAGAAGAAAAGCTACTGGTAACCCAAAGCTAACACTCAAAACTTCCCATTTTACTCTTTAAAGCTTGTCCTAGGCACAAGCAAAAACTGTGGGCTGACAAAAACTGATTAAGAGAACTGTATGTTGCTGCACACTCCCCACATTTTGTCCTGATTCAAAAAACATTTCTTTAAGTTTGGGAGGGTTTGGTGGGGTTTTTTTTTGTAGTTTTTAGTTTAATGCACTGCAGAATGAACTTCAGTCATCCCACAGCTGAACATAATTTAATTGATTTGGCTTGGTGAGCAACCTGGGATGAAAAACATGTGAGACAATGAATTGAGGACTCCTATATTATTTTGGTTTTGGGCACAAAACACATTTCCAGGTTTGTCTAGTGTTTTCTCAAATTAAAACATTGTAACTGATAATTAAAAGATATGTAGTTACTAAAACACATTTTGCTTTCTATTATGCACAAAGGTCCAATAAAGGTAAGTATCTAACGATGGAAACAGTGGGCATTGCTCTCTTGGAATGAACACTGCTCCTACAGATACGGAATGTGGAGATTTTAATTACTTTTATTTCTATCATTATGAAGTACGTCCTTTTAACAAAAACAAGTCTCAAAATACCATGTGATGCATCTAAACTAATAACCTCTAAAAGTGCCTAGCCTTTCACACACAAAGAGAAATATTTACTGTGTTTCAGAATTACATGTAGCTCTCAGCTTGAATTATTCTGTTACTAACATTCAAACTCCAAAACCAGGTTGTGACCCTTACTGGACTTTCTGAAGCTTCAGGAAGAACTCTTTAAATGTCACACGACTAAAGTACCAGGAGCTTTGATTATACAAAAGGGTTGGAATAGCCTTTGATTTTGATTAAATTGCTATCTCCCTGTGCAAGTGAGCCACATGAGAAGGGATGAAGAGCCATAGCCCTGCTATCCAAAACCATTCTGTCTCACCAACTCTCCATAGCCTACTTTCCTATTCTCTCAGATGTAGAAAGTTTTTCTCTACTCCTTCTTCATCTGTTTTCCTTAATCCTGCAATTTTTGTGGCTACTTTCTGCAGCGTCTCTTGTCTACAAGAGAACTGAAACCCAAGGAACATATTTTTCTAAGTTACTTTCTCCCCACTCATATTTGATAGCTTTCCTTAGGCTTATAAGACCTGGTCCAAATCCCTCCAAAATAAGTTACAGTCTTTGCCTGATTTTAGTCAGTTTTAGAGAGAAGGCACAGAGTGAAGAAGGACTCCTAACCTTTTTCCAGGCCCTTCTCTGTCCCTGGCTGGAGGGCTTTCTTGACTGCAGGGTAAGAAATATTTGAAGCATTGCCTATGATTAGGCTACAGGCAAAAAATATTGTAAAAAATCCAAACCCAAACTAATTCATAAAGACAAAAAGGTTAATGAGTAGCAGGCATACACAAATTGCAGTTGTCAATTTGAGCAGTGCCATGTCCAGTACCAGGCAGCTTCCAATTGCTGTGGGACAGCCTGATCAGTAGGCTGGCTGAGGCTTCAAGCTTAACAAAGGCTGTATGTTAAACAGATAAGGCTACCTTAGAAGTTCACCTACAGCATCTCATTTGGTTGATTTCTCAGCCAAGGTATAGGGTTTGATCCTCAAAATTCTCCACTTAGAGTGGGTTCAATAACAGAAAGCACTAAGGAATGGCTTATTCACTGAGAGGACCTGATCCCAGCAAGGTAACACAACAGACTCAAGGTTGCTCTCACTCACTGCAATGCCAGCCTATTGCACAACAGGCACAGAGATCTGCAGTAACTAACAGCTCTTACTGCTTAAAATCATGATTTTGGTGCAAGTCTGCCTGGTACTTGAAAGAAGAGCAGGACTGGGCTACTGGTGAGCGAGAGATTGGCTTTTAAGATACACCCCCTGCCCCAAGGGAGAGAAAAAAAGGGGGGTGGGGGGTGGAGCAGAAGCAGAGTACAGTCATGGAAAGGAAACATGAGATTAAAGACATAACACAGTTTCCACAGAGGGAAATCAAATTAAAAAAAAAAAGTTACTTTAACAGACCTAAATATCCTCCCTGGTAATGAAAGGAAAGAGCAATGTGTTATATCAAAAAACAAGTCTAATAAACAATAATTTTATTATATGGTACATCATTAGCTAGTAAAAATCTTCATGGGCTACAAATAGAACAAACTGTTTCTGCTGTTTCTTTTTATAATGCTCAAAGCTTACTAATGTGCCACAACTCTTCTAAGAAACAAGACCACATAATAAGGCTTAGATCTTCAAAGGCATCTAGGAGGCTGTGGGAGTTCTGGGTCTCTCAGAAGCAGCCCCTTACAGCTCTTTCTGACAAGGCTTACTGTGAACTTATTATGAATTTACTATTAACTTACTATGATGCACAGCTGGTCACTCTTGGAGACAGGCAGGCCTTGCAACCCTCCACAGAGAAGTACATAGCTTAGCATCTTGTTCACCCCAGAAGAGGCTCTAAAATGCTAGCAGGAGGCTGTTATTGTGTCCAGGTAAACATCAGACAGACCCAAACCTCCTACCTGAAGCCTGATGGTGGCTGGCTATCTGCTTGGGAAGTAGCTACCTCATATAACAAGAGGACTTTGCTGCTGAGCACTAATGCTCTGGCTGCCTGGGCTGAGATGGCTTCCAAGGCAAGGAAAGGTAGCAGGGTTCTGAGCAAGACCACCCAGGTGCCAAAGGCAGTTCCTGCCTGAGACAGGCGAGAACAAACAGGCTGTAAGAGACAGACTGAATTATGAGGCCGATATAAAAAGGCTGCTGATAGCATGCCCCTGAACATCTGTTTACTGTGTAATAGCTATTTACAGAAACATGCTAAGTGGCACTCTGCTGAAGTGTGTTTGTATTTGATTTGATTACTCCGTTTCCTGACTCAGGTTTGCTAGATCAGCTTTCCCTATTCAGTGGAGGTGGTTAGAATCACCTGAAAACCAATTTCCTTTTCAGTTTTGATGTATGGTCTCAGCCTAACCTTTTGCTAGAGGGGTGTGTATTAGAACACCTGCACTGTATTACACTTTCGACTTTGCTAACTGTGAATGGAACTGTGTTCTGTGTGAGTCTAAAATAACTCCTGCTGAAGCCAGAACAGAGGACGTGATTTGGCCAGAGTGTACTCCTCTGCGTCACTAAAATCCTGGTGTCCCTTTCTCCTGCTCTGCTTAAGATCAAATTGATGTTCTTCTCAGATCTCCTCCACTGCTAACTAAGAATAAAAAAAAAATTGGACACACAATAATTGATGTGAATGAGCCGTGGCTTGAAATAGCAGGTAACAGATGGAGACAAAAGACAGTGACTATCCTGACGCTTCTAACTTTAAATGTTTGTTTATGCTAAAAATATGCTTCAGCTCAGCAAGCTTGTCTTTGCATATAACCTTCACTGTAAACTTAACCTATACTTCAGAATCGCCCTGAGCCCAAAAGCCAAATATTGCAGATGTTTTCTGAAGTCACCAGGAGTTCTGGGATCAGAATCTGGAAGACTGGGTTTAAGATTCAAAAAAACCCCCAAACCAGAACTAACGTAGCTTCCAGAATTTCACTTTCTAACTTTATTCAGAGTGAGTGTCTGCTTCCCGTTGATGCCAAACAACCACATTCATAGGTAGGTGTGTGCAAGTCCTACCCCCACTACTGGGCTGAGGCTTAGGAGTGCAGATCTCTACAGTGATGGACACTTCAGCAGCCATTTGCCTGGGGAAGGATTGTGGACCCTGTTTGCATGAATAAGCCAAGGGTGAAATCCTGTACCTGATATAAAGATGAGTGCCACCATGTGCATAAAATAAACCTCCTACTGTGCCACTGATGGTTCCATTTATGCCTCTTATACCAAGATATTAATGACCTTAGTTTAGACTGTATTTTTATACCACTGTGCAAAAGTATGATGGATAACTCTGGAATAAAAGGGCTGGCTTGGAAAATGTCACTGGAGATGCATACTTGCATGCAGATTATGCTGTCTTTCCAAAATATACATCAACTTTACCTTTTTTTTAATATATACGTTATATACACACCACAGGCTCAATTTTCCCATATTGGTGCTTCTCTTCATGCTCGAACTCCTTACATCTACAGAGTCCCTGAAGAAGCAAAACAGTTTTTCCTGATATTGAACGTAATGTATGGGATTCTTCCCCAGCTGTTGGCTTACAGGTGTGTCAACAAGCCAGAGTTTTTTATGAAAACAAAACAAGAAGAAAAAACAGAATAGCACAACTCTTTTCAGCTCCTCTTTTTGGCTATGTATATTATTGGGTTGGGATGTAACTGAACTGCTCAGATAGAATCCAAATGAAGCGTGTAAGATGTGTAAAATAGCACAATTGTGTAAAGTTGCACGGTCTGTTTTGTTTATCCTACTCAAAAAGGGAAAATAAAGATGACTGCCTTCAATACCACTTCTCAACATTTTGACTTTGTGCTGTAGTGGAGTTGCTAGTTCACATAGCTATTTTTAAGTAAGCTGCTTTGACAGTTTTAGAAATACTGCATGAAGTTAAATAATAATAATGATGTCAGTGTTCAGCCTCCACACACTGAAGAATATCGGCGCTAGCAGTCCCTATACAGAGCTACCATAGAATGTGAAGGACAACATTTTAAAGTGTGAAAAATTAACATACATAACTCTGTCACATGCACAGGTTTTATTTGTCAAAAAGTATGTCTCGTGGGTCAGCCTTGTTAAAAATCCCAAGAAATCTTTTCAGAAGCAATCAACTGTTATGGTAAGACTCCATATATGATAAGCAAATGATAAAGTTTTGTTAATTCTTTTAAGGATTCACTTCTGCAAGGACTGCTCACCTGCTTGAAGTTAAGCATGTGCTTACTAGCACTTCTGAACTGGGCACGGAGGGCTCGTTACCTTGAACAATCAGGCCTTACACCATAGCATGCATTTTCAGAGAGGAGGGTTTTTTGGCCGTGTTCTTCTCTGTAGCTAATTTTGCTAATGCTCTTGGGTCATAAACAAGTAGCAGCAAATACAGCGACCTTGGTTTGTGTAGTTTATGTTTCTGTTTGCCATTACAACTGTTTCTATGCCTTCTATGTATATTTATACTAAAAGCAGTACACTTAGTGCCCTTCTCACAGATAAAATTAGCTGATACATTTTAACTGGAAACACTTTATTTTGGGATGTTGATGTTTGGGTGTTTTGATTTAGGGAATTTTAAATTTCTTTTTAAACCTAATCAGTAACAAGAAAGCATCAGCTCATGCGCATGCGTGTTGCACCCTGCACAAGGGGACTTTCAGAGCAGCAAGAAATTCATGCTTTAACACTCTCCCGTTGAACACTGAGGTGTAGTTCACAGCAGTGCTCAGAAGAGAGAACCCACCATTTTATACCTCCAGCCAAAGGGGCAGGTCCAAAATAACCACAACACATCTCAGTCAATGCTTCTTGGCAAAAAGGAACTTAGCAATAATTTCCTCCAGCACCCAGCCTCCCTGGTGTGGGCTCCTTCCATGTACACTAGAACTGGGGATAGCTCCATCCCAGCGCATCCTCCCAAGAAAACCAACCCAGAGCTGGTGGGCTGTAACAGGACATGCTGGCTCACAAACAGGTATTTGAGCCTCCGATGTTACTTCTAATGTTTTTAAAGAAACTTTGAATACATTCAAGGTGAATTTAATAACCTCCTGTTATCCAGAAAAGGCAAAGTACAGAAAAAATAAAGATCTCACCTGCACTTGTATCTATTATGGTCAACTCATGTTAACAGAATGTTTTGCTTTAATACTTGACTTACATTAATACCTCACATTATTACACGTATGAAGCCAAATATGACGCTAACTTAGTTGCTTACAACCTCAAACCTTACTCCCAATACACATTCCAATAAATTTATTCTGTAAAAACAATACATTTTTTTGTTTTCTTTTTGTTTTGTTTTTTGTTTTTTTGTTGTGTTTTTTTTTTAGTTTTTTACAGTAAACTCATCAACTACAAACCTTGAATACGCAAAAGATGTTCCAAGGACAAGCATAACAGGGATTGATAAAACCAGACTAAATATGTTTTCACAATAAAAGCTGGCATAAAAATAAATAAAAATCTCTATTATCACAATAGCAACAATAATGTACACAGAATAATGGATTTGGAATGCTTACTTACTAGTCTAGTTCTATTTCCAAAAGGAAAAAAAAAGCCAGAATGACAGCATCCTTTTTTAAGCCTTTCATTATTTAAAATTGATGTTTTCTTTTGGTTTCCCATAGGGTTCTATATCACAGTAAGCTTAAAAATGGAAAGCATCCAAATGAATGATTTCAAATTGTGTTGGCATTGGAAAAAATCCTTGTATTAATCTAAAGAAACACAAAAAGACTTTCACTAACTCCACATATAGGAACTAAGTCAGATAGTGTACATTACATCATGATTTTGAGAAGTATTAAGAGTATAACTAGCTAGGTACTTCTAATAAGGAAAGGTATTTTATTACATTATTGAACTTGGTGGTGATCTCAACTGAAGAAGAATTTTTCTTTTATGTTGTAAACTGATCAAAAATCAAGAAAGTATGGATATAGGGAAATTTAAAATTATGTTTGTACATGGAAGATATTGTAGTATTGTATGGAGGGGACTCATTTCTAAGATTTACTTGTTTTTAAAAAAATGCTGATTGAGAGTGATATAATTTGGAGTTACACCTTTTCTTTCCAGAAAAGGAATCTAAAACATGTTCAAGTATGCGGTATCTTCATAAACCTCAGCCACTGGTAAAGGGCAACTTCATGCAACCAAATAATATGAAAATCAAAAAGTAACCCTTAGAAAAAAGGGTAAAATGTCATTTCTGCAAACACAACAGATAGGAATGTGAATAATGTGCATACAAACTGGGATGCTGTTGATGATACTAATGAACAGATGTGGTGACTCATATCAAATCCAAGAATATTAGACAACCAAACATGTAACCTTCTTGTGTTTTCCCTTAATATTCAGCAGTCATTATGTTGGTTAAGTCTGAAAGAGAGAGAGAGAAAAATATCACATTTAATGTAAGAAAAAGCATGCTATAACAAACTTGATATAATTAATGCCTTATTCCCACACTTCAAAGTCACAGGTACAAGTAACCACCTGGTCTGTTTGAACAGGATTTTTTTCTAGAGAAAACTGCTTATGTTAAATCAGCTAAACATGCCACTACAAAATATTAAAGAACACAGTTTAAAAGTAAACATTCAGGGGTTTATTCAAATAAGCAGCTCCAGTCATGTATGTGGGTTGTTTTTTGTTTTCCCCAATCAGTTATGAATTTTGTAGTATACTTCATAGACAACCAAATTTTGCATTTTTCGTCTACACTAAATTACCGATACGCTTCATGCAAAAGCTCAGGCACTGCTGTATTCCTGAACGCCTTGCAGTGAGAACACCCTTTCATTCAAACAATGAACACTCAGCAGGCATGAAGAAAGATAAACAGTTTTCATAGCTAACGTATCTGAATGTTGCTTCTGAAAAGGAAACAGTTTGGCTTGGAGTTCACTGTAAGGTGATGACAGAAAAGGAAGAAACTCCCACTTCATGACTGAGTCAAGGTCAGCTCTTGCTTCCACTGACATTAGTGGGAACAGGATCAGATTGTGCTTGTGTGATCATGGCAAGTGTCTCCAAGTCTCCGTTTCTTCATATTAAACAGAGATAGCAAAACTCACCTACAGGCACAGGGACACAATACTTTTGTCCAGCGACATGACGACGTGCAATGCTACATGACTACCTAACCCTGAGCCAGGCATCCCTTCTCCTTTGTAAAGAATTCAGAGCGTGAATGCTTGTCCACCCACACCCTGACAGACGGAAAGAAACACAACACACAAGCAGTATGAAGGAATTAGTACTGTATTTGGTGTGATCGTTCATCCAAAAAAAAAATCAACATCAGGGAATAAGTGAGGGGGTACAGGTTAAATCCACTGGGGATGATGGAATTTTCATTTTACACAGGATCCAGAGGAAAACATGAAGACATTTTAACATCCCCGCACTAGCGGTTTGCTGCCTACGCTTTCTCCCCCTCTGGCCCATCCTACCTGCTGTGTGTGATGCCATGGCTATAGTGGACTATGCTTCTCTATCCAAGAGGGTAAGAGCGTACGAGTGCCCACACAGCAGTGTGGGATCCCAGTCTGGTTGCTGCACCTCTGAACTAAGGGCCGAGTTTGTTCAGTGCGGTTCTTCTCTCCTACGACAAGGGCTTTGCCAACAGTAAGTAATGGAAACCTGCACTTTCCGTGTGGGAGGTCCTGGTACGTCCTGACTAATGACACATGATAAGGGGTTATTATAAAATCCTCATGCATGTAATGATGGCTTACAGGAACTGCCTGAGCCCTGCCTCCCCCCAAAAGGTGTAACAATGCACTGCTCGTCCAGAGCACCACACTTCCATTGACCTCTCTCCTGTTTAAGAGTCAATGAGATTGTACTTACAGATGCTTTGGAGACGTGGCTTGGAGGGATTCACTGCCGTTTCTTTCCCTTCAGAGGGAAGTGCAGACACCCATTAAAACAACTACAAATGATTAGTCAATCAAATCATGCCTTCTGCTAAAGTTCTTAATGACAGCTGCTACCCAGCACTGATAGGCAGGATGGGTGGTGAAACAGTCGGTCCCTACAGTATCACTCTCAGACCCAGTAAGGAAAGCTGTCCCTTTGGAGTATGAGACCTTTGCACTTATTAACAACAATTCTCCTCTGGGCTAAGGCCAGAAGATTGGGTAGGCACCATTCTTACATGGGGTGCTGGGAATATTAATACTTCCACTCCCTACTGTCTCACAGATAGGTCCACTGGGCCACAGTGTGGAACAGGAGGGACAACAAAGAGCCAGGTATGCAAATCATCCTCTAGGACTTTCAGTTTCCAGTACCATCTTCCAGTGCGACACACATTTTGTCTCCTAGGCACACTCCTAGGTGCCCCAGCAGCGAGCGGTTCTCCCCAGACACAGGCAGCCCCCAGGGCCAGCGGGGCTGCACAGGGACCTCGGCTCCTTCCCCTACCCTGGCAGCACGTGCTGCCAGGCTCCAGCGGCAGATGCGGCAGAGCTGAGCAGTTTCCACGGTCTCCATGGTTTCACGTCTCTTCAGAAACAGATAAACTCGCATCATCTTTGTTTGAACAAGTCTCTCAGCTTTACTGTAAAGATATGGCACAACGTGTGCCGCACTGTCCAACGCTACTGCACACAAAAGAAACAGCAGGGAATCTGACTGATTCAAGTGCACAATTTCAGCCATCACTAAAATTGAAGGACAGAGAACACAGAGCAGGGAAAAAACCTAAATCCACAAATTGCCTTGTTTTTTCTGGCACTGAAAATTCCTCCCTCAGCAGTGGCTGGCAACTGACTCAGCCATCCTGTACTTTAAAAGCTCTTGCTGGATGGGCAGAAGGATAATTATTTACTTGCTCTGTACGATCATTGTTATTCCATGTTGGTTTGAGGTCAAAATGGTTTCAGGATTCAATGTACACAGAGAGGCAAAGAGTGTATTTCATCTATACTGGCTGCTTTAATCTCAACTTGCATTCAGACATTTATTTTTCTCCTGAGTTATGTCCCATTGCCTTACTTAGCGGTGCTGTTATCCTGAGCTCTAGGAAGGCAGCAGACAACACAACTCTTTACACCAGAGAGTGTGCCACTATTTGATTTTTACATAGAAATTTTTACTGTGCAATAGTTAAACACATTTTTACAAATGTTATCTTTTTTTGGAGGGGTAGATTTTAACTTACCTCAAATGGCAGAAAACAAATCAGAGAGAAATACATACTCTGTTTTCATTTTCTGGAAAAATGCCCACATAAATGCTTTTACATTGAATAGAGCCCTAAATGCTATGCTTTGAATGTTGATACAACCCCAAACCTGTTGTACAGCCTAACCAATGTTACTGAGAAGTAAAGAAGGAAGAGCAAAGGAACCAAACATCTCAAAACCACATCAGAAGGACACAGTGAACCTGTGTACTCTGGCCAGTTTGGCCATAGCACTTGTCTTTCACGGCAGTAAATGGAATTGTTGCTACCCCACAGGAACATCACAACAAAAAAATATGTCCTGGACACAGGCTGTTTTAAATATGTTCTCCCAATTGCAATAGTATCAGATGGCAGTAATTTTGGACCAGATTTTGATCCCCTTATTCATGCTGGCAAGCAGTCACCTCCACAAATAGATCCACTGACTCCCATGTTAGTAACTGATTGTCAGCGTGAGTAAAAAGATCACAGTCCTTTACCCCACTTTAATATTCGGGCTGTACCAGGAACTAAAAAATGTATTTAATTTCCAACAAATGTATTATTTTTCAAAGACTCAGTAAAATCATTCACCTCCTGAAAGGCAACCACATGCATCTGTACACAAAGAGAATGCCTCATTTACCAACACAATGTCTGGACTGTAACTAAAATAATGAATACCAAAAGAAAAACTTGCCACATACCCTGAGTGCTGACCTTAACATTCAAATACTCTCTACAGGGCAGGGACTACAGCCAGCTTTCAAATGTCATTATATGGCTATCCAGAGAGTAAAAGTAAAAAGCGACTTAGGTGTTCAGTTATAAAGATTCAGAGTTAAACCAGCCAAGAACCAAACACACAAGTCACTGGAGATACAAATGTGGAATGTAAATCTCCTGCCATGAATTCACTGATTTAGGAGCTAATTTTGTACCATAGAAAGTAAACAACACAGAGCCATGAATACCTTTCCACTGGAATATTCTGTTTATGTGATATTTTGAGAAAGCCAAAACAATTTAGTATTTAACAGCAAAGGACTGTCATGGGGGGGTTCTGTGACTCTTGACTTGAGCAAACTCTGGGATGGGCTGTCTTAGCTAATATATTATTAGTTAATTAATATTAGATAATAAAACTCTGAAGTTCAGGCTTTGCATCTTTCTGGGGAAGGAATCAGCCAAAGAACAGAAGTGAGGGAAAGAGCTTGAGAAACAGGGAGTGGCAGGATGCAATTATAAACTGTGGCTTGGTCTGAGGAAGTTAATGTCTCTTCTGTTGAGAGTGCCTGTAGACCTCAAGAATAGTTGAGAAACTAAGGGATGGAGATAAGAATAGAAAGCAGCTTTGTCAACCCCAGGGATAAAAAAAAAAAATCACAAGTTGAGCCCTTGAACAGTATGAAATTGGCTGAAAAAATATCATAGCTTTGGAAGTCCTTTTATTTGCTCTGGGTTTGAGTCTTTAGGAAGCCATCACTTCTCATTTTTAAGCTTTCCTCTACCACCTGGAGGTTAGAAATTTCATTAAAAAATATAGGTGAAGATGGTCCTGCAATCATTTGATTTCAGCTGTTTACCCTTCGAGAAGATCCCCGTAATGCTGAGGGTAAATGTGTGATTAAAAGGCAAGGTTCCCTCTGACCCGAAGAGGGGAGATGAGTCTTCAGCCTGCAGTCCAGGCATTATAAAACACAATCACTACCTCATTATTATCAGTATCATTAAGAGAAAAGCTGCTTATATCCTTTAGGCAACTCTTGCATGGTCAGAGACCTGGGAGGTGCAGAGCACAGGAGCCAAAGGCTCTCCGGGACGCAGCCCGTGGGGAGCACTACAAGTAGGGTAGCTGAGCCCGCAGCCTTCTGCCCACCTGCCTTCCACAGCCCTTCCCAGCCTCCACCACCAGGCATCTTTTAAGCAGCTGGTCACAGTGGCAAAACCAGGGGAATGAAACGTGCCTATCCTCGAGATCAGGGCTCTGAACTCCTTGTTTTTCTTGTCTCTTTGCCTTCACGGTACCTTTCTACAAGTTATTCTGAAACAAACTCTGTCCTGGTGTGAGTCTCACGCAGACCCCAGCACCCTACCTTTTTGGGGAGGGCGCAGGTTTGCACCCCGGTTCATTTTGGTGTGCTCCTGGCGCCATCTCATGGCCAGCTAAACGTCCTGAGCTTGGCTGGCCCCGCAGGAAGGCGAAGCGGCGGGTACGCAGCTCCTGCGCTGCACAGCGGGGAGGAGGAAGCCCATCTTCTTCAGACTGCGTGCTGTTGGTCCAATGCTCTTCTCACAAGCTAAATGATTTTAAAGAGACCATAATCTCATCTATGATGGTGTCTTTTAGCAGACCTAGACATTCTTCTGAATTCACGCGTGTGAACAAGAGGACCATATCCCAACTCCGCAGGCACGTGTCGGTCTTTTTCAACCTTCCTTTCTATAGAAGAGAAGTCCAAGTGCGGGCGCTGGAGGAGCTCAATGCCCTCCGGCAGACTCCCAGTCTGGATGTCGGGCAGAACCTGGCTGCAGGACAGCCTGCCCTGTACCCCGGGAGGTCAATCTAGACACACGCTGTGGGGCTGGCTGTTTAACACCAGCTGAAAAAAAAAATAATCTGATTACTCTTTCCCTGAGTGCCTTGTGTCTGATGAAGGCATACCTTCTGAAAAGACACCTCGTCTGGCTTTGAGGACACCAGGAGATGGAGTGTCCCCTCCTGGTCCTTACAGAGAATTGCACTACTGACAAAATCTCAAAAGAAACCCTGAAGAGGATTTACGTGAGATGCTGATTCTGCAGCAGAAATCCCCAAGGTGAAATATCTGGATCAGGATGTGAATTTCTCCAAACTCATCAGTGCTTTTATCTCAAGCTGCCCTTAAAACCATCTCTTCATCTCTCTTTAGTACATGCTACTAAAACTCCACCTTTCCCATAATGTTAAAAGCACCCAAGACCTAGTTAAAGAATGGTCACTCAAGTGTGAGGTCAAGCCCGAGTGCTGGGGTTGCAGAAGTCAGAGCAGAGCCAACTCCTCGCATGGGTATGACAATGTTGACTGTGAGTATTTCTGTGGAGTCAATGCTGGAAGGAAGGACACAGACTGTTGATGATATTTCAGCACAGAGGCTAAAATATCTGCAATCCTGAAAATGCTGAAGAGCACCATGATGTTCTAGCATGCTGGACTCTACCTCCCAGCGGTTACGAGCATGTCACGTACGGAAGAAGAGCTATATGAATGTCACCAGCCACAAAGCCAACATCCCATGTGACTTTTTAGCCACTTAGTCTGCAACTGACCTAACTCAGTAAACATTTGGTCCTTGCGAGGAGAACATGCCTGAAGTTCACAGGCATATCCCCCGTCACTGCTACAAACACGGGAAACAAAGCAGGCCTTCCTGAACCTCTTGCCACCTTGGGTGAACCTTATGGCCAATTTTCTCACTCAAATACCTATTTGAAGACATGGAAGTGTCACAGGGTTCACCAGCCAGAACTCGGGCAACACATCCACTATGCAGTCACCACACTTGTCACCCCCAGACTCTCAAATTCTGTGGGTGAGGTGCTGTGAAAGCATAGCCAGACATGGTGTCTCCTTGTGTCAGTCTCTGGCTCAAGCCAGCAGCTTGTTCAGAGTGAATGGGAGAGGCTCAGGGCACATTATCTTCCTGACCCCATAAGCCACGTATCAAAGTCTTTAAAAGGTGAAGAGCCACAAAACACAAACACTGTACCATAGAGAGACAAGGGGAAAGGAAGCTCTGGGAGGAGACTTTAAGCGGGAGGCGACAGCAGCTCCCCAGAGGTTGTGTTTTGTGAGAAAGGGTTGACACTGGGCATGCAGCTGGGTGCTAAGGCACCTTGGCAATGTCAGATGAGACCCTGTGCTGGCTGGCTTCCTCTCACACCTGGGGATTCGTGTCACTCAGCAGCTCCTGTGACAGCCCAGCCTGGCTGCTGGCCACGTGGCAGAGCCTTGGCATGGGAACCGCACAAGAACTGGTTTTGAGCTGGGGCTGTAACTCCTGGAGCAGGGAGGCTTGTGCTGCTCCAAAGGCTCAGAAATAGTAGTGGTTGTTAAAGGTGGCTGATGATTAACCAATTCCCATGCTAATTCTCCTGCTCAGCAGCCTTCCTTTCTGTTGTTGTGGTCACAACAGAGTAATATTGATATGAACACACAACTGACACAAACATGTAAGGAGATTGTATGAAGCTGCTTTGGAGCAGACTGTATATCCCCTCCTTGAAGGTCATATCCCAAGGCAGGATCTGCCCTGAAACCCACAGTATGCAGAGTCTGTAATGTGCACATGAACCCTCAGGAACTCCAAAGAAGTCAGTTGGACTGCACAAATTTTAAATAAGTGTGAAAGGATAAGCAGGCTCCCACTGTTTAGTTAGCCAAAATGCATTATGCAAACAGTCTCATTCTGCTCTCACATCAATTCTGCTTCATTCCAGTTCATGGTGTTCAGTAGTTCCTGTCAGCTGACATCCATGCAAGTGTTCAAAAAAATAAATACTTATAGTATCTTCTCTCATTCAGTCATTTCTCTAGAGCAAAATTTGTACTAGTGCAGGGACCAGTCCCATGTTTCTGTTCTAGACACATTCTGAGCACTGAAGTGCAATGTAAAAAGATCGCATGTGGTAGGCACAGGTCACTGCAATGCAATGCCTTTCACCCCTAGCTCCAAAGCCCCCCAGTAGCAAACTGCAAGGGAAGTGAATGATATTAACAGAAGCTTACCCCTTCACTGGTTTTCTGCAAATCTGAAGAAGTGTTTCTTGTGTCATTGCCTGCGTCCCCAGCATCAGAGCTGCTCTTATTTTCTTCCTCTTTGCAGTCCTTATCATCTTCATCTCCAGGAGATTTCCGTGACTGCTTGGAGGATTTCTAAAATGATCAACAACAAAGTTAAAAAGTAAAAGCTGAGCTTCAGTCATAGAAAGATGCTTTTGAAGTGATTGTGGAATGCTGTCTGATCATGCAGTTCCCTGTTCAAGGTAAATATTGGGGAGGATATGTGGGGTGAAAAGCGTTTTTCAGGTGAAGGAGTTACTGCCCTCAATAAAGCAAAAGGAGAAATTCTGTGTTGAACACAGGTTGGTAGCACAATTGACTGTGAGACAGACACAGTAATAGGAGATGGGTATTAGTGTTGGGTCACCTGTAGGTTTTGTTAGTTAATGAAACAGATGGTGCCAGCTTGACAGAAGTTTTGATTAAACACAGAGATGTAAAATGAGAATAACATTAGCAGAGCTGCTTTCCATACTTTTTTTAGTGCTGTCAGCTGTAATATATTAACATTAAAACCATGTGGAACCAATACATCTTTTCTGCTCCCTTTATGTTATGCAATTCTACAGTACAAAAGGATAAATTGTGGCATTAAGCCACCATTTTCCTAATCCTCTGTTTGTCCAGAGTCTTCTGGAAAGAAGGTGGTAGACCAGACCTGAATTTCTAATGTAAAACACACAAAGGGGGTGAAATTACTTAATACATTTTGTTCAGTGGATGAACCGTGAAAATTCCCACTCTCCCCCAAGTTGAGCCTGGATCAGACTGTTTGCTCGCTTCTTCTCATTTTGTTTAGTTTTCACTTTCAAAGAATAACAGGAATGTGAATGAACATGACTCTGCCACACTTTCCACAATTTTTTAAGCGAAGTACAGATCTGGAGGTACACACAGAACCGGAGGAAGTGACTATAATGTTGCTCCTTTTCACCCAGGTGACAAGTGAGAAGTGTATCTGAACCCAAAGTTGTCACTGCACAGGTGATTATGTTCACCAGCCATTATGAGGCAGTCTGAGACACATTACTCTTAGCTTCCTCATCTATGCTGTTACTTAGATATTGACAGGGCGGGTAGGTACTACAATGCAGGTCTTTTATCTACAAATTGAGTGCCTTACTCCCTGCTTAACAAATTAGTTCTTCTTCCCTCCCATTCTGTATCCTGTACTGAAGTATTTTACACTCAGCTACAACAGGAGCAGCTGAGCACGTCTGACCCTACTGTATCTTTTAGCATGGCAACTGGGGCACTCACACTGGAGATGGGATAGGGAAGCTTGAATTCTCCTGGACAGGAACCAAACCTGAACTCATGTCTTCCAGGAGGCATGCTCCGAAGGCTTTTTTTTTGCTCTTCATGGGGAAATACTAAGATGTTCAAACCTATCAATCTATCTTTGCATGGATTTTCTTTCCAGCCCTTCTGAACTCCTTCCCATACTTTCATCTCTTTCTCAAAGTGTGGGCACTAGAACAGGGCAGAGTATTTCAACTGCTGTCTCACCAAGGCTGTCTACAAAAGCAAGAGCACTTCTCCTTGCCTGTTTGAACACCATTGTTATGGTACTGGAATCAAAATGCTAAAGGAAGAACAGATTGCCATGAGGTGGACAGTATTCTAATTATGAATGCACATGGGTAACAATGGAAAAACTCAGAAGATAACCTTTGAAGTGTAGGATTTTTTCCGTTTTGAGCCTGCTTTTTCATTCTTTCTTTTTCCTTTTCCATCCTCTTCTACCCGATCACCTTCCTCCTCACTGCTGGCATCTGCTGTATTTCCTCCTTCTCCTTCAGTTTCTGATGAGCTCTGTTGCTGAATTGCCTTTAAAATAACAGTAACATAAACAAAAAATATCACTAAAACCTATTACTTAATTTTTGTTCTGTATTGAAGAGAGAAGTACTGGTAACAGACAACTTACACTTTAATCATTATAGTCAGGAAGAGCTCAGGTTATTCTCGGAATTATCAAGAAAAAGGGCTGCAAAGGCAATTTTCTCAGTCACCACTTGAAAACAGTTATCAGATGCAGATTCTGGGATTGCATGTTCTGAAGGGTTTACACAGAAACAGGAGATCCGATAACAAAAATGTGTTTGCTGGAGAACTAAGGGTTGCTCAGTGGAGAGACCTGGCATGTTCTACTTTGGGCAAAACTATGGAAACTTTCAGACTTTGGCTGCAATAGGAGAGACGTATTCAGGAGAGAAGATAGCTGTTACAAAACCCCCTCAAAGGGCAAGATCTCTGTATTAGGAAAAAGCAAACACTGACCAGAAGGCTGAGAGCTCTCTGACAGTCCATCTCCCACAGACTATTCACTAGATTTTTTTAAATCCTCAAGCGTATGCAAAACATCTGTAGGGCTGAAAATATGAAACAGGAACTGAGAGGGGCAGCAGCTTGTCTGCAGGTGGTCCATATCTCTGGTTTGTAAGGTTTTGTGCTAATAATGTAATAGGTGTTCGCCTGCTTTTGGAGGTGATTTCTGCCTTCAAAGGACCACATTTTTTTAATAAGAAAAGTTCTTTGGTTTTATACAGCCCATCAACTACTCTTCTCCCCCTTCACTGACTTTTTGCTCCGGACATCCAACAGGGAGAGCTGTTGTACAGCAGCTACTATCTCCTAACAGCAGCTTAAACCTCCACCTTCTCACCCCTCACAACTTTGGCAGTGCTGTCCTATGTGTTATACATTACCAATGTAAAAATCAAAAGTGCAGTGACCTTAAGGTCTGTGTAAAATACACTGAACCTGATATAAAAATAAACAACAGGAAGAAGTCAGAAATTATTCATGTTTATATGGGAGTAAATAAAACCTTCCATTTTTAATTCAACTAAATCTGCTGCAGAATTTTCCACTTCACCACCCCAGAATATCACAGAAAGCAAGGGGCTCTGCAGTATGATTAAAGTTCAATTTGTCACAGAGTGCAAGATCACAGTTGTATTTACATTATGCAATTACAAAAGCTGTGAAACTTTCTAGCTCCACCAAAACCAGGACCTTCCACATCACTCATACAATGTTTACATTGACAAGAAATCTTCAAAGAAGAAAACAAGAAAGATAAGGAGGAATAGAAGTGAAAGTAATTTACCTGATATCCAGTAAACTTTACTCCAGGGTTGTTTTCTATTTCCCACAGGCCTTCATTAAATCCTTTTCGCTTGTTCGACTTCCCAAACTTATCTTTATATTCTTTATATGGGAAAAGGTCTTTGGGCCCCAGGAATGCACTGCATTTTAACAAAGGTAACATTCAAAAAAGGACTTAAATTCCTCCTCTTAAAAAAAAAAAAAAAATTAACAGTGCAAATGTTTTCCCTATTCTTCTGCTCATTCCATCATTTCTTTTTCAGTTTTATTTATTTGTTTATTTATTTATTTATTTAACACTCTGGCTTTGAGTTACTGCTCTGAGTCTGATTTAATGGATTGGCTCACCATCCTGATGGTTGATGTTGCAAAATCATGCTGGGTCTCTCTAGAAACAACTAAGACAAGTCTCATTTATTATATTAACTACTGCTGGGAACTGGCACTTGAACAGTTTATGAAAGGGATTATATGACGTAATAGCCTGCAATAGCAAGGGACCAAACTTCCAATCCTATGTGTTATAAATCCAGAAAGGCCTAAAAATACCATATGAAAAGTTAAAGCATGTATGGAGTGCTGAGAACCCATAAGCCAAAACTTACTCCTTGAACTACGGGAGTAAAGAAAAAACAGTGGCATTTATTATTATCTATACTGCCAGTAAGCCTGGGAGCTTCTTTCTTCGAATAAGCCCCCCACATGCTAGATTCTGTGCAAACACAATAAAAGTGCTCTCTTTCCCAAAAATCTTATAATTTCATATAAGACAAGAAACAATGGGTGAATATAGGCAGATGAGTAATACAAGGAAACAATGAGACACACAGGGTGCTTGTGGCCAAATTGTTTTTTAGACAGCACAGCAAAGGAGGGATTTTGTGCTCTGCTGCTGCATAAGTCAGCTATGGACTGAGCCAACTAATTTCAGGCACAGGCACCACAATGCAGAGGAAAATAATTACAAAAAAAAAGAAGAGTGGTGACTTATCCTGCTTTTTCTACATACTTTACAGTAAAACTCTAACTTTTTATATAAAACTGAAGAAAGCATAATTTCCTTTTCATTGGGTATCTATATCCAGTGTGTCTACTTTGCTCTGTATCATGGTACTGGGATGGCTAATCATAAGTTAAATTAAAAACAGTGAAGGCAAAAAAACCCCCTTCATTCCCACATGGAAGATTCTATGTTAACAATGACTGGAGCTGAACAAGTCACAGTGTCCTTCACTATAATCACTGTCCTACTTTCCTGATGATCTTTGCAATTAATGTTAACTCTATGGTCTCCGTTACCACGGGATCGCGGAGCTCCACCATTTACAACACATTTATTCTCGTAAGATCACCACGAGGTTGGGAAGTTGCCCTTTTTTGCAGATGGACTTCTGAGGTACAGAGATTTGCCCAAGGTCAAACTCAAACTGATAGCAGAGTACGGAGGAACACCCAACTCTCTTCAGTCTCAGTCTAATACCTTAATTACAGGATCATATTTCTTCCTTGCTGTAAACATTATTTCAGATTAATGCCCGATTTATGCTCTGATTCCTTCCAGCATTTGTGAATGTGCAAAGTTTCATTCACTTAAATCATCCCACCGGCCAAGAAGTTTGCCAGTACAGAGACAACTGGTGGCTAAAGGCATCAGATGACAAGTCTCTGGAGAAAGAGCTTCCTTTTAACTACACAGGAGACAGAATGGTATCCACACTCAGTTGTCTCATTGAGAAATATCTTAATTATATAATTACAAAGCTAAGAATGCATTTCTACCTGAAAGCCAAACAGTGATTTCCAAACTAACAGATGTCTTGTTAATATTAAAGGCTACAATAGAGCAAGGGATCTGAATAAATTATTTTATCTATGCTTTTGCTAATACTAGATGTCTCCTTGTTGCCAAAAATACATACAAACAGTTCTAACACAAGTAACAAAGGAAAACTGTATGAAACTTACCATGAGTGACCTTAATTTAGCTCAACAGTAATGTATGGAAATGTTTCTACAGCCTTTTATGTACAGTAAACACTGAAAAATTGTCTACATCTTTGTTTGAAATATGTTCATTGCCACTGGGAGAGTATAACAGTTTCCACTGCTTTGCTATAAAACTAAGGAGCTGCAATCTACAGCTCATTTTTAACAGTTATGCTTTTTAAATTATTAAGGTAGCAGCTACAAACTATTTTCCTGTTTCATATGTTACAGTCAGATCATGGGCTAACAAAATCTAAAACAAAAGAGATTAGCAGTTTGGGATTCATTCATTTCAGAATAAAAATGTTTCTCAAGAAAAATGTTTCCATTAAAAAAAACACAAACCAAAACCATTTTGGTTTCTGGTTTTAAAGCATAAATTTATTTGAATGTTATTCGTTTGGGATTATTTTGTGACAGTAGTAGTAGATCGCAATATATCAAAACATCAGGTTGTTTCATTACAGCAATAGGCAGAAATTTTTTAACTAGAGAGAGGCTATTTTGATCTTTATTAAGCAGAAATTGCCTTTAAATATTTTTAAAATAAAAATGTGATGCATGAGCTATGGGCCTTATTATGTTCTGGAATAATGTTAAAATTAAAAAATAAACAATTTTAAATAAAGCTTCAAACCTCTAAAATTGAATTTAAAATGTCATCAGAATTTCATTTTTTCATTTTTTAAGGAATTCTAGAAAACATGTTCCCTGCAAGTGGGGAAGGAAAAGTTTTAAAATGTAAGCATTTCATGCAAAATGGAAACTGTGAATTTTTTTTTTAACTACCTCAGACATAGTTTAAAATAGAGACAAGTACATTATAATTTTGAAACTCTGTACTTTGTAGCAATTACTATGAGACCTAACTTACCCTTTCTGTTCTGATTCCTTTCTTTCCCTATGAGCTCAGCCAGCTCAGTTTTTCTATCAGTTCTGAGAGCTCCATCCTACAATATCCCCAGCACAAATCTCACAGGAATGCATATATTTTAAAACTATGTGAGGACTGCGTGAGACGCTGGGGTCTCCTTTCTTTCATTTTACAAACTACCAAGCGAGTTCTCACACACAACACAAACCTAAACATGTCTGAATACAGCAGCCTGATCTCTGCTATCTTGTACATCCAAGTAAAAAATTTTTGCCCCTGCATCTGAGTTCAGATGACCCTTTAATAAATTTATGCCAACACTTTTCTTTATGGGAAACACAGGCACTGTTTATTATTTATGCTCAGATCATGGTATTCCATCCATGCAGCAGTGTTCCCACCTACTTTCAGGTTTCACTTCCATGTCTTAATGCAAATGAGTTGGGCTCGTAGGACCTATCTCTAGCCTCCCAATGGCTTCAGTCAGGATTTGTTCCAATAAAATCAGTGGAGATGACGTTAGCTGCAGTAGAAGAAGACATCTGCAAAGAAAGATCGTGTTCATTCACTTACGTTTCATGAGTCCCAAAAAAGAAGATGGGGTATTTATTTGCTGGAGGCTTCACAGCTCCTTCAGGGAGTTCATCAATCTGTGAGACAGAAATGGAAAAAGGATTATTCCCAAATGTGGTGTCCCTTGTCCAGGAATCCCTACCAAGCCATGGAAGTGTTAGTGCAGGTACCCCGCAGGCCTGGGAGGTCCTACTGTGTGCTGGGGTGGGGAAGGGAAGACGGCTGCTGATTTTTGAGGCAGGCAGGTTGTACAAAGTCAGATACAACAGAAACACTACAGGGAGACAACAGGAGACCAAGGAGCAGACAAAAAGTTTTAATGATTTCATGGGCATTATAATACACAAAGGCAATAAAATAAAGTCTGCTTAATTTAAGTGTTAACTTCAGATGCTGCCTCATCAAAGGCACCGAAGCCCAAAGGGTAATCCTGTCTGTCTCACACAGCCACCTAAATAACTTCTGCAACAAATGGGGAACAGATGGTATCTCTGAGACTCTGCAGCCGGAAAACCGGACAATCTCCCATCGGGGCTTCCGGGTGGTGATGGTGGTACACAGTGCAAAATGCGTAACGTACACCAGGGAGGAGGACCTGGGACTCTCCTTCCACTGCGGCATCCTAATAACTGGTTTTGGTCACCACTCCCCTCTGGACTCCATCTCTTCTTTCACTTTTTATCCCTGGCTTTGTATTTCTCAAGATATAGCTGCAGAACAGCTAAGGGAGGGATGGTGAAGGTACTCTCCTGAGATAGAGCTGGGACTGGGACAAACCCCTCATGCTGAGCAGTGCCTAGACCCCATCTTCCGATGTCTGAGTGAGAGCGCTGGTCACAAGGCAGGAGGTTAGGCCCATGACATAGACTTGTCCATATTTAATTTTTCAGTCCTCTGGAACAGAAACAAGAGAGTCCAGGTGCCTACCCACATAAACCAGAAACACAGCACAGCTTTAAATACTGGCTAAGTGCCTGCCTTCCCAGAAATGGCACTTCTGAGCATATGTGGGCGTCTAAAACTAAGTGTCCAGAGAACTCTCTGGCTAAGAGGGAGCCTAATGAATCTAGGTATCTATAGGGCAACACCAGAGAGCAGGTGAATGGCTTGCTGCTTGGGTCTTAGGCAACTCAATCTAAACATAAGCATATTGAATCCTGCCAAATGTCACTGGAACAGAGAGCAAAGTGCTGACATACCAACGTTATACGAAATCTGCTCCTCAGCAGAGCACGGGGATGGAACCTGCATGTTTTCACTCAGGAGGCCAGGCCCACATGTGCTTTCCTTCTCTTTTCGTGCCGAAGGACCCCAAACACTGAATTCTTGTTGATTAATAAACACCAGATTGTTTTCAAAGGATGTTCTCTTTCACTGTAAAGCATCTGCTGGCTACGTAGCTCTCAGAGGAGTACAAACTTTTATAAGGATTCAAGTCCTTTTGGTCTTTCTGCAAGGACACCCATTGGGGACAGAGAAACCAGAGCCACATGTGGAGCTGTAACATCACAGGACTCCCTTCTGCAAAAGAAATGGATGCCTATCTTTTAGGTCTAAGTGAAGCATCCTCTGAAGCTATGCCAAAATCAGGGGATATAAGAGCACTTCCAAACCATTCCCTGTCCCTTTTCTGCGGCACGACTCAGGCATGTGGATGGTGGGGCTCTTGGCACGCCGGGCCCTGTGTCACTGTGTACTCACTGCCCAGCACGGTCTGCAGGAGACAATCGGCGATGGTCAGGTGTCACACACCTTGTGGGCACCACCATTACCCAACTTCTCTTACTTAACAAAGTTAATGAATTGATAAATAAAAGGAGAATCTATTATTTAAATGCACACGGAAGGAAGATACACACTAGTGGAAGATGGAAGCCTGCATTCACTTTTAGTTCAGCTGTGTGTAAGAAGGAACTGAAACAACATGACAGGCTGTTTGGTGTCCTCTTCATCATCAGGAATACATAGAGGAAACACTGCCAAAGACATTTTTTTAGAACTCATTATTTTCTGACATTAACTATTTGTTTTTAAGTAAGTGCCCACCCATAATGTGGTTATTTGTTCACTAATTAATGACTTAAATAAAGGTATTAGACTGTAACAGTGATAAAAAGCCTGCAGGGGAAAAACAACATAACTTACTTTACAAACAGATAGCAAGTCACGGAGATAGTATGTCCCACTGTGCAACACATTTTATGCCTCCTTAAAGATGGAATTATCTATGCGTCAGACCAAAAAAGGCTGTGCTGGCAGTTTACCAAGTACGGAGGCAATACACCTCAACTGTCTGGATGCCATAGCCATCCTCCTCTTTATTATGACAAGGAAGATGTCCAGAGAGATACTAGACCCCAGAAAAATGTGGACTCCCGTGACTGAGACAAACAACGTCTGCTGGGACTTGAGTATGAATCTCATTTGGCCGCTTGAAACGCGGCGCCAGTTCTGGGCTGCATTACAGAACAGTGCAGTCCAGTTACTGTCTCAGCCCTTTAAGAATTTCTCATGAAATAAAGTGAACAGCTGTAAATGATCAGTAAAGCAGAGGAATGAAGACATGCTTAGAAGGGAATGCTGATCAGAAGGGAATGGGGATATGCTCCAAAGCAACGTGCTATGCTCCAAAACAGTGAGGATCTTCTCCTAAGCAACATCCCAAGGGGAGTTAAGCCTCATGTTGTATTCCCAGCACTTTATACCGTTAGCTAAGAAGCAGCACCAAAACAACAAAGGACAGCACACACATCTGTCATGCAGCTCACCTGCTCCCCATTTTGTGGCATATTTCTTTATTCATCCGAGTATCCCCTCTGACTACGTATCATCACAGGAAACCATAAAAAAAAGCTTTTCATAGCTTCTGAAAGTTGGCATACACATACAAACACATGCAGTATAAATCTGCACTAAACAGCTCAAGGATAGACCATTAATGCTCGCACTCTAACATTTCACTGTGCAGCTGAGGTCAAGACTTTTGCTGCCTTCACTGATTTTGCTGTGAGCTCCCAGCTCTCAGGCTTATGTTGCTAGTACTGTAATGAGGTTGAATATGAAATGACAGTGCTATCTTACGGCCATTTAACTCCAAGGCAAAAACTCCAGGGAATTTAGTGAAGGATGAGACCCTCTGCCACTAGGAAAAATCTCTTCCCTTTTTACCTGTTTCACACGAATCCCTGCATTACAGACCATGAGAGGAGGGCTTTGCAGAGTCCACCCATTTCCAGCAAAACCACCTTAGCCCTCCATGAATTCTGAGCCCCTAAGTGCTTATTTAGCTGCAGAACAAGCCCAGCACTCTTTGGTGATTGCTGCTGTTCTGTAGTACCAGAAAGCAAGCAGTATAAGCAACCATACTGCAGCCTCCTGCTGCTGCACTCAGTCACAATTCATTCCCATCCTACAAGATGTTTTGGTTAAATATGCTGAAGATTTGGATCTGATATTTTTCCCATATCAGCATGATCAAAGACAGAGAGAGAGGGAGGGAGAGAAAGAGAGCGAACGCGTGAGCACAAGAGCAAGGAAAGCATCACTGCTTCGAACCAGGAACAAAAGAGATAAGAGCACCCATACTAGGACACTGTGTTGTAGTCACAGAAACCTCACTAATGACTAAAGCATCTATCAGAGAGGCAGACTGCAATTGCATTTTGCTCCTGGAAGGAAACAAACAGATTCTAAAGTACCCGTTATAACCTGCAATCAAACAGGAGATCCATCCCCTCCTGAACCCGAGCAGACAGTGGGCTGGAGCTTGTTGCCACAGAAATCAGTGACAGCAGTGTATGGTGTGCAAATCTGATACGTGCATCAGCAACATCATGGGCAGCCACTTCAATTATGGCTAAAATTAAAGCAGGTGGTTTCAGATTTCGAGTTTTATCCCCTTTGCTCCCGTTGCTGTCATCTGCTTAATGAATAACAATTGCTTTTTTTTTTTGCACAACCTCAGCAGAGCTGCACTTCCCAGCATTTGTTTGCCAACCAAGCAGCAGAGCTTTAAAGACGTAACTGTACTTTTTTTTGGGTTTGGGTTGGTTTTTTTTGGTAAACAAATGCCGGGCTTCTAGGGTCAGGAACACTGAACAGAAAATTCAGCCTGGACCTCTCAAACCAGAGGAGCAGGGCTTCATCAAATGGTGTTGCTAGGGACTACCAATGTGCAAGCAAGAAATCTGTCTCCTTACATTGTAGTTTACAGGCTAGGATGTACACGCAGCCCAGATATTTTGCTCTCAGTGGTGCTGAGCAATTGCTGACTTCTCAGGTGGTATTTCCAACTGGTTCTCACAGGCTGGGTTTGGCAGTACTCATACCGCACCGCTTTCTTCCCAGTTGCCATGAGGTTAGGGACCCTGGGGAGAGAGGCACCGGCTGGGTGGGTTGGGCTGGAGCTGCGGAGCCACAGCCCTGCCAGGAGGACAGCGCAGAGCTGCCCTCCGAGAACAACAGTGGCTCCCACAAACACAAATCATCCCCGTGCCTGCCGGTGGGATAAGGCGGCATATTCCAGACAGGTGGAGGAGCTCCCTGGGAGGGCTGGTGCAGAACCAGAGGAAGCTGCACCCCCTCCTGGGTGTTCTGCTCCGCAGAGCTCTACATCCCCTGCAAAATGGGAAACGTGTCTCTCTGAGACACAGAGAAAACGGCAAGCTTTGTCTCTCAGCTTGCCTGTGTAAAGCAGCTTTCTGTGAGGTTTACATTATTGCAGCAGTCAAGAAAGGGGCAGTTCTGCCCATCAAGGCAGAAGGGCATCCCAGATGCGTCTTCTTCCACTTGGAGGGACAGCAGGTGTCATGTTGTATGGCTATCACAAAATCTCTGTGCTGTGGATAAGCTGCTGTTCAGAAGCAGGAATTCCAGGCTGTCAGGGTGGCTTTCGGACCAGACCCTATTCCATTATGTTCCAACAGAATCTCACACTGCAAATAAAAAGTAGTATGCAAAAATACCTATCCAGTCCACGTGTACAGACAAGAAAGCTTTACTTCAGCATGCAGAGATGCTTAGGTGGGCATTGAAACCACAAGAACAAGTCCTTTTATTTTGCAAAAAGAGGGAATTAAAACTGCAGAGCAGTAATCGCTGATTGTTTTGACATACTGTAAATGCCTTTGATTGGCAAAAGCACACAGAAGCATTGCAGAGATCAGTATCTCCCACTGAAATCCCTGGAGTCACTGCACAGCAGTTGAGCAAAGGCCTATAGTATTTTTGCTGGAAAGTGGTTCAAGTTGCTTATTATTGCCCAACACATGCAAGCAGCTTGATATTTTGCAGTTAGCTTATTAGCAAAACTCCAGATGGATAAAAGCAATACTCTTCAAAATCCATTATTAAAATAGGATATTTTGCTTTTCTACAACGTTTTTATTCAGATGGATTTAATATGGTTTTTAATAGCTAATGCTATTGGGAGTCAGCAGTATGGCAGTATCTTTTCTAAACCATTATTTAAAATACTGTTCTGTAAAATGTAAAATATTAATTTTTTTTCCCCCAGAGGATCCTAAAATGTAAAAAAAAAAAAAGAAAAGAAAAGAAAAAAGAAAAAAAATCTAACCTCCTTCAAGCTAAAAACTGTGACTCAGATTCTGTAGTACTTAAAT